GCCCGCCGCCTTTGCCCCCAGCCTCGCAGCCATCTGCGTGAGCGCCACCGCCCACCGAGCGACGAGGGGTGCAACGACGCCTGCTCTGGAAATGCCCGCTCAGCGATTTCGCACATTCGCCGCACTTCCACACACTCGGGCCCCTAAGCCTCAGAGAAAGGAAGGCGCGTCCTCCAGACAGTTCACTGAAACAAATAAACGAGCGGCGCCCACGCCCTGAGGTTCGTGTTAAAGACGCAGTAACCTCGCTACGCAACGTGGACTTCATCAGGAAGAATTGGACCTTTCCTTGTAAGCAGCAACGTATGAGTGACATGAAAACACTAAACACTTCACTTTATTAAAAACAAATAGCCAAAGCTATTACAAAATTAACACTATTGGAACTCCGTAGGCTAAAAGTATATTACTAATTGAGCTTATGAGCTCAATTAGTTCTGCTCTCGAAGTTCGTTGGTTATGGTTTAACTAAACAGATGCAGAACAAAGAATACTTCAATATTACTATCGTCATTTTGGAAATATCGAAGAGGCACGTGAATGTTATCACGAATAGAAGAGAAACCAGTACAAACATGGTACAGTCTAATTCATAGTAATCGATTCCTCTTCTATTAACACACATTTTTATTTAAAGGATTTGTTTAAAATTCTTTATTTTTAATAGTGAACAACATAACTTAGAATAGGGCCTAAGTGCAAATTACAAAACTGCACTTCGCCAGTGTTCTCATAACGCACAGTGCCCGGCTTCCCCTAGCGTCGCCAGACAGCACGGCCCCCTCCGCGCTCCCTTGACTAGGTGTCCCCCGAGCCGCGCGTGATTCAGCCGCGCCCCGCGCGCGCGGGTCGCGGGATTTCCCCAGCCGGGGGTTGGCTGCGTTATCGATCAGGGGCCGTGCGGGCGCGGGCGCGGGCGCGGGCGGGCGCCTCTTCGGCGACCACGCCGGCCTGGTCGCGCCGCGGCTGGCTGGCTGGCTCGTCGCGTGCCGCGCGCCGGGGCGGCCTTGCCCACGGCGCCCTTCGCCGCCGCGCTCCTGCTGCCCGCGTCCGGAATGCGGGGGAGAAGGCGGTGCTGGCGACGGCGACGTTGGGCGAGGCGAGCGGAGGGATGGGAGGGAGGGACACGAGGACGCAGGCACAGCTCGGCGCCTCCGTGACCCTCGGCCGATCGAGAGCCCGCTGCCCCCGCCTTGGCATTCCTACCGTATTCCGTAACGGTGTATATTATACGCCACATGCTAAGGCGAGAGATAATAATCTGTGAATGCTGGCAGGAGCAGAAGGGCACCTGAGGAATGTTGGGCACGCTGGTAGTTAAGTAGCCAAGCGTGTGGTTTCTGATTATGAAATAAGAAATAATACCAAAAACTATGGAAAACAAATCTTCATTATTAATATAGTTGTTTTCACTAATCTTCATTATCCCATTATCCGCTCAATGTCAAATGATAGTATAATACGTAATTAAATTCCTCATTTCGTGATACCGAAACGATATTTATATCATTTTCGACCAAACTACTCGTTGAATTAAACAAGGTACCCAAAAGATAGGCAACGTATTCAAAAAGTTCTTTGTTATTGTTTGTTCTAAATATAACTTTTCACATAATACAATTCAGTTCAAGTTTAATAAAATACACTTAATGAATATCGCCAAATAATTTCGATCTGATGCTGACGCAACCAATGAATGCAATTGCACCATCACAAAACTATCAAGAAACAAGAATAACTTAATATACGTATCTATGCATTAGATTTGAATGACCTATTAATTATGCATTACATTAAACATTTCATAGTGGACAGGCGTAAGAACAGGTCCAATGGCCAGAGCCTCACTGCCAGTAAAGACATTTATTTACTTTTTTATTCATTTATTATAAGTAGAATGTATATTTGGATTATTGAAGAAAGGAGTCGCCGTCTTCAATCACAAGAGGTTTTCTAATTTTTTTTAACTAAAATTTTTGCCTCGCAAAAGTTTAATAATTTGTTAAATAACCAATGATTAACGCTGTAATGAAAGAGTACTCATATCTGTAGAAACAAACGCAACTACACGTTCTTACTTCTACTGCGCTAAAAATCTACCAGAAAATCTAAACAAGTGCTTTTCTCCTTTACTGCGACACACTTGTAAAATACTGTGTTCAGAAAACGTCAATTTCATTAATATCAAATGAACGTATTCATCAATATAAAATTATAAGTGCTTACTAACTAGAATATTGTTAATATTTATTTAATTATAACTAGAGCCCGGTAGTTTGGCAAAAAGCGTTATAATAATAATAATAATAATAATAATAATAATAATAATAATTATTATTATTATTATTATTATTACCACGATTTTATGACTAAACACAAGGAATCATCAAATTGTGCCTAGTTTCAGTAGATTTTCATTTTACCGTTTTTTTTTAAATATATTTTAGCTTCGGTTCCCTACTGTCGGAATTGTGTTTATTTTTTGCATTTTTTCTTTTATTTTCATTACCTTCCTTTTCTTTTTGTCCTGACGCCGATCTCGATCAAGTTGGAATCCTGCAAGTCTGGACTACACGAAGAAACTGACGGGTTTTGTCTTTCTATTTAAGTGGAGGCGCCAGGTCAGGCAGTGTTAAAAATCTAATTGACAAAGGAAGATGCCACTAACTAAGATTTTTATTTCTTGCATTTACGCCGAAGGGCTTTGTACGCTCACGAGGAATTTCATCCTCCTTTGGACTATGGCCTTCGATCCCTTTTGAGGACTAATCTCTGTATACGATACACGATGCGACCTTTCCCAACACTGGCGAATACGCAAGTGCAAAGAACGGAGAAAAACATAATCCCGATTCACTGATACCTTTTTAAGATTCAAATGGGAGTCCACAATATTTCGTACAGACAGCGTCGCGTGGTCATCACACCGGGCGGTCCTGAGCAAGATCACAAGAAGATAAGTTACCGTCCATGTAAGTGTTGTGCTTCCATGAAAGTCCTCTTTGCAATCATTTAATATTGTTTCCAACATTATGAAAAATGAAACGAGTCAGCCTTCATTTACGCAACTAAATACGAAGTTATTTAATACAATTAATTCGACGTAATGCAAAATTATGCACATAACGAAAATTTAAAATTGACGTAAGACACAAAGCATAAAGAATGCATAACTACACATTTGAGAAAAAGTCGCACACCGTCACCCAGTAGTAAGTGCATAACATAAGGGTGGTGCCTGAATGCCAAGAGCAGAGGACGAGGTAGGAGAAGAAAAGGAGGGGTGTTTCCTGGGGAAAGCCTTCGTTGCCCGCGGGGCAGCGCCCTCTGCATTTCGCGACACGCTGACTGGACGGGAGAGCGCAGCGGAAGCGAGAGGCCAATTGCGCGCAGCGAACGCCAGGGGTAGGCGTGGGCCGCGGGGCGGGGAAGGAGTACGCAAAACGTCGGGCAGAGGTAACAAGGGGATGAGCCGGAAGGGGCCTGGTAGAGCGGGGAGGAGGGGAGGGGCTGGGCGGCGGGCGCGATGAGTACGGCAAGCGGGGATTGGTGTAGGGATGGCATGGGCTGGGGGGGCGGGAGCGGGCAGGGCGGGGCGAGCGCGCCGTTGACGTACGGTGACTGGCTCGACAGTGGCCATTGCTTGATGGGAGCGGAGAACACAGACATGTTAGTTTTTGATCAGTGTTTTTTTTATTTGTTTACAATTAACTACATTGTTCGTAACATTCATTATCATCATGCAAACAATTTTAATATCTGAATTATTTTTAAGCACCCATTAGTTTTACTCAAACATGGTTTGACTGAATAATAATAAATAATACAAGAAAGGTGTATTCTTCTTATTCACTGTAGATATCACTGTATTATAAGTACAATACAATGAATCGATCCACACCTTCCGCAATTGGAAATTGTCAACAAACTGGCCCAGACGTAGTAATAATTGGGAATGCGTGCCCAACCGCTCTCCTGAAATACGCTACATCAAGAAAATTACCACTAACGATAATCACACAAAAAGCTTCCATCAGATACGTATACGTAATATTACGCCCCTACGTCTTTTCTGCATATCGTGGTTCGTATCGTTCTGTGACTTAGTGTTTACTTTGAAATGAATTCCAACTGACCTCCCTGGAGGCCTACGAGTATTAATGACGGCATCTAAACTTGGGCACAAGAATGAGAACACTTCCGGTTATGCGTCATCAGCTTTTTCTTTTTTTGTTATTTACAAAGAATTGTAACAACTAAAAATGTGACAACTAAATAAACGCAAGGTACAGTATTAAAAAATTTTACCATACGTCAATTAACTAAACACCGTTTAATTCGAGGTGGTGCACTCTTATCGTTTCACTAAATGTAGAAACACACACATACATTGGCGTGTGCAGCCTAAAATAAGAGGGGGAACACTTTTCTGGCCCCTCCATACATTTAAAACATACTCCAAAATGTCATGTTAAATAAGGGGAAAATTAGAGATTGAACATACGGAAATAAAATGTTTTGTTTTGAAGGGCAACGAGGACCCTTCAAATTTTCGGGGGAAGAGGAGGTAGGACTCCCCTGGCCCTCTCCCCTATGCGCACGCCATTGCAGATATTTATTACACAAAATATAAACCCTTTACATGTTTCATCATGACAATCTCCGGCGCAAGCGTGTGACGGTTGAGAGCCGCGTCGAATAACCTAGTTTCTCTCCACACACAAATACTAATTTAATTTTAAGAGTACAAGTGTTTTTATAGCAAGTTCTGAAAGAATGGAAGCGGCGTCAAACGCTTTTACACGCGTACAATGGATTTTCACCGCTTGCAGGGAAGATTTCGTAATGAAACAGACATCGATCAAACTGCTGTATGCGACGCAAGTGAGCTCTCCCCTTCTCAAAGCAAGTTCGCAGTAACTCACGTCTAAGCCCCTAGCAGGAATTGTGGGCAAGGAGAACTGGAACGACGCAACACAATACCCCGACGATTGCGTAACGTCCGTAACGCACAGTGAGCTGCATTCGCGTCCTCTCCTGTAAAAGGAATGAATTTCAGAAATTGTAGGAAATGATATGGAGATGCCTTGAATTTCCTTTTCTGATAATAAAATGTAGAGTAGTATTTAATGCCATTTTCCGACAGCATGGAATTGACATTAACAGGTTAATATTTATGTTTCTCTGTCCATGGAAATCTAGTTAAGTAAATTTAAGTCTCTGGAATAGGAGATCACTATTTTCTGCGATATATGAATTGTATTAATGTAAAGAAACTACATTTACACTGTCAGTCTTTGTAGTTTTCCGTAAAAAGGGTATGTCAAGCATTATAAAATTACATTACTGCTTTTCTCACAATACCTAATAGACAAATGCCAGTCATATCGCTTCGATCGCGCTTTAAATCAAACGCCGACGAAAGTGAAAAAGATAACTTCAAACCCGAATGCATGAAGCTGAAGTCTATTATTTTGAATTTATTCAATCTAAAACAGACTATTACAACGGGAAATTATTTAATTAACCTCACATTATATTTAAAGAAGTAAAAATAATTTACATTCGTTTAGGCGCAGATGATTAAACATTCTGTCCCACAGCCTCAGTTAACCGTCATTAAGACATTCGTCTATATATTTGTAACATGGCTAACGGTTTAAAAATAAATTCTATAAAATATGCGGTTGTAGGTGAAGTGTTTGGCAAGACCCTCCTCCAGAAATCAACCCTCACTGCGACTGCAGCGCTGCCGCGTGGAAAGCGTTCCAATTCCGCCCCGCGCTCTCTTCCGAGAGAGCCGCCGATGACTCGGCAGACGACGACGACGGCGCGGTGCTTGTCGTGCGCGCGTGCCCGCACAACGTCGGCGGCGGCAGCGGCAGGCAGCAGTGACTGCGCGCGGGGAGAGGCAGTCTGGCGGAGCAAGCAAAGAGTAACCGCAGCGGGCGGGTCGCCGAGCTACGCCACGCTTCCGGACAAAGCGCGCCCCCGCGCGTCGCGCCTCGTCACCTCGGCCTCCACAACGCACTTCGCCGCCCGCGCCTCGTTTCTCGCTGCAGGCGCACGCGGGGAGTGGGGCGGGGCGCGGGCATGGGGCACGGCCCGACGCGCCGCCCCGCGCCGCCCCGCGCCACTCCTCGCAGCGGCGCCCGCCGCGCCACACGTGCACGGGCGGCGGCGGTTGACTTGAGGCCGCGGCTCGGCTCGACGCACAGCATCTCCACGAACGCGCTTCTCCGCCGCCGCCGACTGAAGCGCGTCACAGGCCGGCGGCGCGGCGCAGCCGGAAGGCACGCACCTCGCTTTTCAGGCTCCTCGACAACTCAGGAATGAGTGTATGCGAACAAACCATGTTTATTGTTCTTATTTTTAATTAACGAGAATGACTTTGCCTTTTGGCCTCGCTCTGATTTCTGGAAGAAATTCCGCCATTGATAATACACTAAGTTACGCTCTTCCGGAATTACGCTGATTCATTCAGGTTCTATATGTTCAGGGGTTCAACAAATAGTTGCCTCCTCGATGTTCAAGCTCAATGTAGACGAGGAACCTCAGGACGTTTGCCCCTCCCTCTCCTCAAGCACCCAAGCATGATGGTGAGGGGTGGTGGTGGTGAGAGTTTGTCATTTTGTCCACTCATTATCGACCTGTATCCTAGCGAAAGGAATAAAACTTCTCTATTCACAATGACGTAAGTACTCATTAGGTCTTTATAAAAACGTTTTTCTTTTAATGTTATTTTCTAAACGTTGCTGGAACACAATCACATTTTCAATTATTGACAAGAAACTATTGATTTAAAATACTAAATACGAGATAGCGCGGAACTTACACTGAATTTCAGAAATACTTCGTCTTTAAATTCTGGAATCGTAAGCACTCTTTCGGATATGATGAGGCTTGCCTGTTACCTCGCATGCTTTTTCAGTTTGTAAAATTTATATCACATCATCAAATTTCCACAATCGTCTTCCAACCAATGAATCTCCTAATAAGGCGTCATGATGAATCTTAAGAATCACAGTTTGATAAAAATAGTATAATCAGAGCTGAAACAAAATTCGAACTATTGATCTTTTATACTATCAAATCGTAAATAAAGGAAACACTTCGGTTCCTTATTATGGATGTATTATGAACATCTATTAGTTAAAGTTAGTTAGTGTTTATTATTTAAATCTATTAGTGTTTCCGAGCTGTGTGTTCCCGACATATGTGATAGTGCGTGCGTACGTGTGTAAGAGACGGGAAGAGGAGGGGGCAATGATGGAAAAAGGAGGTCCGCGGCCCGTTTGTTAGGGGACTGCTCCAGTATTGGCCTAGAATTGATCAGAGTAGCCAGCCGCTAAAATTCTCCTCCAGACATTGGTTGAATTGGATCTAGCTCTAAAGCTAGTATCAAAAGTTCGCCGCCGTTGGGACTCGAAACTTAGTGTCTCCAGTAAGAATCGCTCCTGAGAACGTAATGTTAATACGACAATTCTTGCAGATGAATCTTCCTGAACCGCCATGATTTCATAGTTATTAAAAAAATACGAATAGGGTTGAAATAATATGGAGTTATAATATTTTTTTAAATAGCGGAGAGGGAGAAAAGATTTGGAAAAAATAATATTTTTTAAGTATTTCGGTTTTACACTGGAAAGCAACGGATCGAAGCACATTAAAGACTGAAAGCAAAGATTGGCGATACTGTTTGAATACATGGTTGAAAGTGTGACATCATAGGGAGTGGAAATTTTGAGTTGGAATGAAAAGAAAAAGTTGGCGAGTGTAGGAAACACATCTCAGGCGAGGGAGTGTGGAGTAGTTTGTGTACACCAAGATATTAATTGAAGAGAAAGTGAAGTGCCACAGTGATAAAATTTGAGAAGATAGGAGGAATGAATGAAGACAGATTGGTCAAGATTTTTTTAATTTAATTTTAATTTTAAATAATTCAGAATGGAGTAAATTGGCACGTGAGTGAGAAGAAAGTAAATGATTGGAAATTTTAAAGATATTTTTATTGAAGAATAAATAAAATGTAAACTGATGTGAGGAAAGACCCGTATCATAATAACATTATGTATGTGAATGAGAATCGAAAGAAATGAACTGGGGAAATGGAGAGGACTTACCAAAAGAAAATTAAGACAAAAGTTGAGAAAACAAGGAGGAATATGCGGTTTTAGCGGTATGGAGGCAAGCAGCAAAATACCGCAAAATAAAGAAAAGAAGGAAAGATGAAAACAATGATCCAATAACAAAGAGGAAGAAAATAAGGACAGCAATTGCAGGGGGACTCTATTACCCTTGGGTCGCCTTGGCGGGTGGATCGAGACGCTTGTTCCCGTGAACTCGAGTGGAAGAGTACTTGGCGAGAGTATTTAACAACCGGACGATGAAGGCGGAGGACTACGATTTTTCTTTTGGACACATGGTCAGGATGTGTGATATAGTGATGGTGTGTAATCTTCTGCAATGTGTTCAGAATGTCTCTGAATAAATTATCACTTTTGCCAACTAATATGTAGTGGAAAATTTCGTATAAAAGTTACACATGAGACATTTGCCCCTGACATTTAGGCAACCTCCAAATCACAGATGTTCGGCAGGTCACGTCCTGACGCAGTTCAGACTTTGTGTACCTTCGGAACACTTCATATAACGTCTGTATTAGATGTAATTTCTCACAATACGTTCACTGGAGAAAAATTATAAATTTAACCTCCTGCATGTCCCAGAACTTCGTAACATATGCATATACAAGCCACGTGAGGCTGAAATAAACCAACTTACAATTATAACTCAGTGAACTGCTAAGGTTTGTTAATGGATAGGCACTGGATAATCGGGATAGAATAGCATCACCACTGTCATCGTATCTTAACACATCTCCGCGATGCTAAGCCAACAATTTGTAAAACTATTTAATAAAATTGTAAAATTTTCCGAGTAGCCAAAAAATTGATTTTCTGAAATTCAAACTGTTAGGGTTTCTCCTTCTCCATGAAGTACACACAGACTTGTACTTCAATACGTAACTTATTAAATCATAGAATACCTTCACCGCAGAGCAGCGGGCGTGCTGACGCAACACTTCCGTTTAAATGATTTCTCAAGAATGCCTCTTCGACGCACATCCGCGCACGCGTCCTCCGTTCGCTCCCTCTCCTCTGATTAAAAAACATACAGCCATTCTACACACAGTACCTGGAACGCGGGCAGCCTGCGAAAGCTCAAGGCGGGGGCGGCCCCTGCCCGACGCCCCTCCCCGAGAAGGGGATCGTAACACCAACATATTTTCGATGTTTTGAGAGAGAATAAGGATTTCAATCCAATTACATACAGGTTTCTTCATTGGATACGACCAAACTTTTGTCAGATGTTAACAATTCAGGCTTTTTGAAGTGATTTGAAACCTATTTAATTTTCAATTTGTTTACATTTACAGATTTAGTACGCATTATTCCATATTTATGGATAACGCTCATTTCCTTGCGTATTTCAACATTTTACTAGCATAATAAAGTTCCATATTATAGTATTTCAAACTTATTCTTGGAATATTATTTTCCGCGTTATATTGCAATGTTCAAGATTATCTCCGTTACTATTTCGGACATTGAATGACATTTTATACATAAAGACATTTATATGTTTACTTCATGAAAAGGGCAGTTTCACATTTGATAATTTAAAACTACTTTGTAACCCTCTGCTTTGTAAATGGCAAATTAGCACAAAGCGTTAAGGAACTTACTTTCAGCAACAACATAATGTAAAATCTATTTTAATACATGGTTAAATTTTGTTTTCTACTGGAAATGAATTACGATATTCTGAAACTAGTTTCGTTGATCTATTCTTCAAATACTCATCACGGGTCTAGGGGGAGGTGAGCGCTCGATGTACAGAGAACAAAAATAAAACTACACATTTGTTCAATCCAAAACACCAAAAGACAGACCACTTCACGAAGGATATTTAATGCTTCATTATCATCGCACTGAAGACCTAAGGTAGTTTTTTTTTAAGATTTCCCAACTGAT